AAGGAAGGAATTTCAAGCTTCTGACTGAGCTGACTTTGTGCTATTTTGACTCCTTGGAATTCTAAAAACTGATGATAGGTCTTTTGAACACACTGATGTAGAGATGGGTGAAGCAGAGCCTGACTTCCTGGAACAAGCCTTGTACTTCAGCCCAAGACAAGACAAGATACTCTAGGGCCATTTTTACAGCATCTGAGTGGCGGTGGGGGTGGAGTGGGAGGGGGGAGGTTGGCGCCTAGGAAAAAAAAATGAATCTTGCCTATTAGGACACCCACAAATATACAGACACAAACCTCGTTCTTTGAGGGCTAACGTAGCTCTAATGTCTCCTCGTTTTCAGGCTGGGTGCGGTTCCATATAGTCTCCAGGGTGAGGAGACTGGGACTAGGTTTAGAAGTTAAGGAAGAGTTTGATAACAAGCAGTATCTACCTATAGTTTCTGCCCCAAGAGTTAATGCAGGGAAGATGCGATGGAGCAGACGGCCACCAGAGAGCGCTGTGGGACCTCTTTGCGGGGATTTGCTTTCCAGCATAAGATTGCAAGGAGCTTGGGAACATAGGCTTTTAAAAACCTTAACTTAGAGGAATTTTGCTGATGTCGTTAATGACTTTGCTTCATTTTGAAAGTACATAGAATGAGAAAGAATGTGTTAAATTGTACTTGAAATTTAAAAACTGCAAAGAATAGCAATAGAAGTTTCACACAAAAAGATACATAATATCCCTTAATTGACATAAGGAGATATTGAACCTACATCATAATTTTTCAAATGCTCATTTAAATGACAGAGATAAAAATGTTCACTTATCAGATTTTCGAGAATCTAGAAGTCTGCCCAACCAAGTAGAAGTTGGTGGTGGTAGCATTAATTGGTTTGATTTTCAAGGAGGGAAAATTGGCAACATATTTGAAAATTACAAATGCATTTGCCTTTGGCTTCTCCACTCTCAGAGGAATGTATCCTACAGATGTACCTCTTAGATATAAATTAACACTTTTTTTTAAATCTCAAGAATGATAAAAGTTTTGAAAGATAAATATCTTGGGGTATAATTAAATAACTTTAGGTGATTCAGAATAATAGACATGAAGGCTACACAGGAGGTGCTGTTTATTTCCTAATATAAAAAGCCTGGTAGTTACTTTATGTAGGGAAGGGGGAAAGGCAAGGCCAATAATGGTGGGTGAAGAATGCAGTCTTTTTTTTTTTTTTTAAGTTGGGGGTGGGGAGCCAAATAACATACGAGATTTCTTGTATTTGTATAAGGAATTTTTGCAAGGATCCACAGTTGCCAATAAAGGTGATCTTGTTGAAGGTGACATAAGAAGAAGAAGGAGGCAAGAGTGAGAGAAAGGTTTAGTCCTATATGCCATTTTATGATGCTTAGATTCATGCAAATTTCTTACCAGTTCACAAAACAGAGAAAAATGTGTATTTTATATATTTTTTTCAACGTTTTTTTATTTATTTTTGGGACAGAGAGAGACAGAGCATGAACGGGGGAGGGGCAGAGAGAGAGGGAGACACAGAATCCGAAACAAGCTCCAGGCTCCGAGCCATCAGCCCAGAGCCCGACGCGGGGCTCGAACTCACAGACCGCGAGATCGTGACCTGGCTGAAGTCGGACGCTTAACCGACTGCGCCACCCAGGCTCCCCATGTATTTTATATTTTTAAGTGTATTTATTCATTTATTTTGAGAAAGAGAGAGAGAGAAAGAGAAAGAGCAAGGTTACATGGGGGGAGGGTCAGACAGAGAAGGAGAGAGAGAAACTAGGCAGGCTCTGCACAGTGCAGAGCTTGACGTGGGGCTCGAAACCATGAACCGCAAGATCATGTCCAAACCAAAATCAAGAGTCAGATGCTCAACCGAGTACCCCAATATATGTATTTTAAATTTCAGGGGAAAAGTGTTGGGTTAGTCATAGAGGAAATGTTGACAATTCAACTTGCCTTTTCACATTAATGCATCAGATACTTAAAGGTGTTTGTATTCAGTTCCCTAGTTAGTTTGTAAGTTACTAATTGTCTGCTTGAAATCAGCCAGTACTACTGTCTCTGGCAGCCTTGTGATGAATGAGGTGAATTTTGCAGCAGGGTGTCCCAGGGAGAACTTGCAGAGGTGCTTGGAGTTTCCTTTGGGACCTCTTCTTCAGTTGTCTTGACTTTCCATGATAATCTTACTCCCCACCACCTACCAAGTTACAGATTGATTTGCCCGTTGGGCAAAGAGGAAAGAAGTTAAGAAACCTTGGGGCGCCTGGGTGGCGCAGTCGGTTAAGCGTCCGACTTCAGCCAGGTCACGATCTCGCGGTCCGTGAGTTCGAGCCCCGCGTCGGGCTCTGGGCTGATGGCTCGGAGCCTGGAGCCTGTTTCTGATTCTGTGTCTCCCTCTCTCTTTGTCCCTCCCCCGTTCATGCTCTGTCTCTCTCTGTCCCAAAAATAAATAAACGTTGAAAAAAAATTAAAAAAAAAAAAAAAAAGAAGTTAAGAAACCTTTTCCTTTCATTGTCATAGACTTACTCTAGTAATTCACATTTATTAACTTAATGTTTATTGAATATCTACTAAGAACCTGAGAATGAACCACTTTCTGAGGAAACAAATCTCTCAGGCATAACCTTTCCTTTAAGGAACTCCTAGTCAAATAGGAAGATGGCATAGTCTAATTACTTTGCAGAGTGATATGTGCCATGGAAAGACAAAAAGAGAATGATGTCCTTTGAAACGGAAGGGAACCTTCAGACCATTTCATGGATTTTAAAACATGAGTAGGGATTCTCTAGGCAAACAGAAGTTGGGATGGAGAGGGGGAAGGAATAGCACTTGTGAAAGGTCTGGAAATACACCGTCCATTACGAGTGCTGAAGAGTGTAGTGTGGCTAGAGTGTGTTTGTGTTTGATTTCAACACATTTTGAGAGGAATTACTGCCACTGTGTCTAATACTAACTACTTACTAGATATACTTGTATTAGGTATGTTATGCCATTAATTCTAACAATGAAACTCTGAAGTATGTTATCTGAATTACACAGATGATGATACCAAGAATTATAAAAATTTATCTAGTTACACAAGTAAGTAAAGCTAGGAGTCAAACCTGTATCTAATTCCAAAGTCCATGATCTGGAGTATGAGTAAGTGTTTGCTGAACCTCTTCCATTCGCCTTTCAGATTCACTCTTTACCCTTCTCCATCCGAATCTTTAACACTAGAAACTAGTCCAGATGGGGTTCATCAAGAGGCTCAATGACCTTGATTGTCCCATAGGTAGTGTAGGTAGGAAACCGGAGAGAAGATGAGAGAATGCAAGATGACAGGGCTCCCTCCCATCCTGCCATCCTGTGCCACACAGGACTTCCAATTAAAGATCAGTGTTTCTACCCAGGAGGCTCTCGCTATACATCGGTCTCCTAGAGGCAGTAGCTGCCCCCTGTCCTCATCTCTGCCAGCCGAAGGGTGATAACAACTTTGTTCCATCCTCTCTGTGGTTTCCCTACATAGAGCCCACAGTTTTGTAATAAGTTCTTTATTAAACTCTCCTCAAATTATTCTAATTGAAAGTGCCATCTGTTTACAGTTGGCACTAGATCAACATTTAAGAAGTTATTGTTATTATCTAAATGAGAGCTAATGAAAGTTTATTGTGCAACGAGCAGAAGAAACAAAGGGGATAAAATGGATTTCAGTGTGAGATAAGAAAAATTTGAATTTTTAAGAAGGCTGCAAAGTAAGAACAATATTCTCTCTTAAGATCTGAATTCTATTAAGGAAATGAAATGACTCTGTCTCTCACCTTTTATGTTACCCGCTCTTAAATCAATAGCAACATGGGACAAAATAGGTGGTTTGTAACTTGACACCAAGGAGTTTAGGGTTTGGGGAAGCTGATTTCACTCCTTGTGTTGAAGCACATGGAGCCACATTATTCATTCAGAGAGGGTGGTGAGATTCAAACAAGTGATCAGTGCAAAGTAGGTCCAACAAGAAGTAATAATAAATAGGTTACCCTGGCAGGGAGATCAGACAGTAGGGTATATCAGCCTGGCTCAGGGGATTAGTCAGGCAGCAAGCATCAGGAGGAAGGTCAGCAGATAACAGGATCTCCACCATGAGATTCAATCCTGAGTCAGATTCCAAGTTCTGGGGAAGGAGACAAAGGCAGAGGCAAAACAAGTGCTGGCTGGACAAACTGGAACAAGATGGGCACATTGTTGATTTCTTCTGTTTCCTGAAACCACCCGATTGTGCACCAGACTGGAGAGACTGCTGAAGGTCACGTGGCCCCAACTGTGACAAGTAAAGGACCAGAATAACCCAACATCCCATTCATACGGAGGACATCGCATTCATACACAGGCAGCCCAGCTCTGAGGGCTTTTTTTTTTTTTTTCTTTGAGTCTGTGATTTCATCATCTGGTCAAAATGTCTATTTTTATTTAATGTTCTGTAGTAGCAACACTCTGGTGCATTTGAGAAAGCATCTGTGTTCTTCATCAATGTCTCACAAGTTGAAAAACTATTGCATTCCTAAATTGTTTCCTACTGGGATTCCTTCTCATGGTGTTAAAAAAAATCCAGAAAACAATATTTTCAACATATTTTCTGGGTTTAAAGTATTCTGATTTACCATCTCCAAGGACAATATATAAAAATGGCTTACCATCTCCAAGGACAATATATAAAAATGGCTTCCTAAATTAACACATCAATTACTTAAACCAAATGGATAGGAATGATGGCACTAAAATAATAATCCTTTACAACGAACATTTTTTTAGGAGATAAAATACAGACGGTCCCTTTGACTTAAACAGGTGCTATATTAATCATTGCGGTATAAATGATAGAGGGGAAGAGTTTATGCTTCTCTCCTTTGTGTTGAACATTCCAATAAATGGGTGTCTAATGTGACAGAGAAAGATAACATAATGAATATCTTAATGTGCTTGAATGAACATAAAAAAAAAAAATGACTGACACTGTATTTTGTTCCAGGTAGGAGTAAAAAGCAAGCAGTTCCTGGCCAGTGATACTCCAGTTAAAGATGTCTGACTGACAAGCATGTTGGCACCAGCATTGAAGGAAGTGATGGGCTTTGGCTCCAGGTAAGTACAGTTTCCAAGGCATAAAGTGTGCATCTTTCTGACTCTTAAGCACAGAGCTCATAAGATAACTCCAGCAAGATTTTTACCCTCTCAAAATACAAGAGTACTGCATTTTTTCAAAATATTATCACTGTAAAAATAGTACTTTAAAGTCAATGCATATATATATATATATTTTTTTTTCCTCTTTAAGTGATGAAACAGGTAACTATGAATAAGTTTATTTCTGAACTGGGTGTCAAAATGCCTGAACTATAAATAGAATGAAAGATGCAATTTAATAGAATGTTTGAGGATTAAGGAGGGTAGGCTATTTCTATAAGTGACCAGTGTGGGAACAAAGTTATCATTAAGCATTTCAGATTGACACATCGTTCTATAGCCTTCTGATGACTGGCACATGAAGGCTGAGTTAGCCTTGAGGACCCCAGATTTTGTCACTTCCAAAGTCATGCAATTAGAGCAAGCAGATAATCCAGTAACTCAAAAGACTCCTTGACTTCTGGCTTCTAAATTGCAGGAGATCAGAAGTAAGGGTCAGACATACCTGTGTTCTAATTATGATTCTCAGAGTATGTACCTTCATGAATTCGTAAGCCAGAATGTATGCATCACCTAGGGACCTTAATATGAAACTTTTGTGGGCTGAATAGATTAATGGGCTCTAGATCTAAGGAATGGAAGACAAATATGACACAACTCCATTTTTTTAACTTTGGAAGACTTACATACGAGGCCAACACACATGTTATTTTAGGTCACATATAATTTCTGCCTTCAACAGATTTAACTATTGATAAAGGAGATAAGCTAATTAAGACTACTAGGACAAGGACTAAAAAAAGATGTAAGGAGCATGGAATAAGTACTTAGTCTACTTAGTATATATATATCTACTTTTGTCACAGCAATTCTGTATCTAGTGACAATGTAAGAAAAAAATTAAGATACTTGAAAATATATGAGCTAGGGATGTATTTCATAGTCTGTTTTACAGCAATACAAATGATAAACAACCCAAATACTTACTTGTATTGAACTTACAAAATGTATTTTTGTTCAAATAGTGAAATTCTATAGAACTGTTCAAATGATTTAAAAGAATACTTATGACATGAAAGAAAGAACAGCTATATTTTTAAATTTATAAAAAAGTTCAAAATGTCTTAAAATAACATTTGTGTGTTTATGCAGAAAAGACAGAAAGTTACCTATGATTATTTTTACTTTTAACTTTATTTTTGTGATGTTTTCATAGTGGCTGTTTTTACTATAATCAGAAAAAAATATGACTCAACATTGAAAGCTAAATCATTATAAGATTTTACAAGAATAAAGTAATGAAAAAATACCATGTATCTCAGACATTAAAAACCAGGTTAAAAAACGGAATTAGATTAAAATCCTACATTTGTGTAAAACACCTATCTATATACATAACAAAACAGAATTTGGGTAAAATCCTGCACTTGTATTTGTATTTCTTTAAAGTGTATGTATGTGTATGTGTGTGTGTGTGTGTGTGTGTGTGTGTGTGTGTGTCTGTGTGTCTGTGTATTAAATATATACAACTTTTCTGTTTAAATAAAAGAGTTTGGGAGAGTGAAGATAATTCCTATTTGATAAGTATGTAAAGTCCCCAGAGATTGAAATTTGAGTAGAGCCTTGAAGGTTAAATACACAGAAATGTGCTTTCATGAGTATTAATAACATCATCTGACCTGTTAAAATGGATGAGAGCACATATGATGCTCACTTGCATTGTTCCACTTTTCATTTTGTAGAAAATTATAGCATAAGTGATGCACACTGTGTGAATTTGAATATTTTTTAAATTTTATTTATTTATTTTGAGAGACAGAGAGAGAGGCAGAGAGAGAGAGGGAGGGAGACAGAAAGAATCCCAAGTAAGTTCCTCACTGTCAGTGAGGAACCTGACGTGAGGCTCAAACTCATGCACTGTGAGATCATGACCTGAGCCCAACTAGGATGCTTAACTGACTGAGCCACCCAGCCTCCCTGAATTTGAATATTGATACTTGTTTCAAGTTTAGAATACTCAAATTGCCAAACTAAATGGTATCTTTTATCCCTCACTGACATTTTGTAAATACTACTGCATTTTTAACAAAAATTACATCATTGTGTAATTATTCACAATATGAACATATTTGCCAAATCTGTGAAAGTTACTTATATTTCATTACCATAGCCATCTGCAATTCTCCTTTACATGACTTCTGTGATGCATTAAGTAGGTTGCATATTTATCTTAGAAAAACAAAATGAAAGAAACAACTCTAATTTCTTATGTGAACATTTCACTTTAAAAATAAATATTGTGAAGAGTAGCAGTAATGTTCTCTTACACACACTTCTCTGTACTTTTCTTCCACTTAGATTATGGTTTCCAAGTCCATTATTTGCCCTTTTTATTCTTCCTCTATATTCTGCTTGTGTGATCATGTGGACACCCATGGCTTTAATATTCCCAAATTTATAACTCTAAACCCACACCCTAATCGTCCACTGAATCAAAATACCAGAAGAACCACAGGTATCATTGTCTCCTAGGCTGTATTTTCTGCATTTTTTTCTTCAGATTCCTCTTTAATGGGGTCTCCTGTTTCCACCCTCCCGATGTCAATTCTGAAAAGGTAAAATCCCTCTTATAGGGATATGGGGGGGGGTGCCCAGATTGACTGAGTAGGCCTGAATTATGGATAGGAGAAAGGACAAGTTTGTTAATGTCATTAACATATTAGTAGCTTAATAATAATACAAATGTTTCTCCCTTTTTCCATTATCAGTGAATTTATCCTTGGTAATTCTTCATCATTCCCTTATCTATGCTTCTCCCCACAATACGCACATTATAAATGCATGGCCTAACATGAAGTTGAAATGAGAAGAATGGCAGAAGAATGTGTACAATGGTAGAGTTGTCAACATACCAACATGGGCATGTGGGACAGATTTCTACTGGGTGATCTGGGCTCAAATATCTACTCTTCCATGCATGAGTTATGCACTCTACAATCTACCATTCTCTTCAAGCCTCCAAGTCTTAAATTATTCATTGTACGTTATTCCAATTCTATAAGTCAACTAATACAGTGTTTGTGTAATCAGTGTGTAAATGTTTAAGCACTTTGTGAGCCTGAGCATTGATTGTTACCAATCATAGAAAACAGATACAACTTCCCAAAATATTCACGTGTGTGTATATGTATATATACATTTGTGTATGCATATATAGAAAGACAGACTACTTCTATTGAAGTAGTAGGAGTAGTTGTTTCCACAGTGATATCTTAGCTTTTTGGTAAAATATCTTCAAGTAGGTATTTGCAGAGAAAGTTCCCTCCTTTTTACTTTAATGTGTGGCCTGCCCATCAAATCAGCACAGTTCAATAATTCAGGAGGTGTTCTCTCTGCCCTTTGGTCACAAAGGGACTTCAACTCGGGATAAATTCACAAGATAATGAGCTAGGCAACACAAAGCAACTTACTCTTATGAAATCAACTCACAAATAAATGTAGTATGAAACTTAAAGACACAGACTATTAAGATAGCATCGATTCATTGATCTGGAAATTATTTCCAACCATATAATATTAATAACACTCCATGACCTGAAATTTAAGCTGCAGCGAACATCACACAGCAACAAAAATTATTTAATATTGCCAACAACTGTAGTGATGTTGAACTTTAACAGTTGAAATTACATTTGCTGAAGTACTGAGAATATTTTGCAAACTATGACATTAGAAATTCTCCTCAGAAGATGAGAATTTGGTTAGATGAATCAATATTCATTAGACATTCAATAATATATGCCTAGAATAAATCAAAATACATTTCATTTTGGCTACATTGAAACCACTTAGAGTTCCAAATAATGTACAGTAAAATCTGTGAGAATTAGATTACCACAAACCAATACTCTCAACTAGATTTGTGTGTGTGTCCTTTTTTCATGTATTTCAAGAAAATTTGATGACCTGAAAATTGACCAGAGCTTAGGAAGGAAGGAAGAAAGGAAGGAAGGAAAAGACTAAATTTCAAAATGGTGGTTCTCAATAATTAAAAGTCGCAATCACTCAAAAATTTTAAGCCTCTACAATGTACTTTATGTTCCCCACAGATCTAGGGACATACAAATATTAAAGTGAGGATTCCCCATGAGAGGAAATATAGACACTACTAAATAGTATGACATTATGTAGATACATATCATACTTATTTAGATAAATATTAGTGTCAGATGTCAAAAGATAAGGAGAGATCAAGTGCCAGTGGCTTCCAACAAGAAAACTTTTGACTTGTGTTTCAGCAACTGAAAAGGCTTCTTGAAGGAAGTTGAATTTGATAAGTTAAATGGGTGATGTGCAGGCTGGGAATGATATTGTAGATGGAGGGGACAATTTATATGCAAACAATGGCATTGAATGTAGAGGAGATGCAGAAAAGGACAGCCAGCAATTTTTTCTTTTAATAAAGGGTGACATTACTGGAAAGGGGAGGATAGAGACTAATTCTGATGGTGTTTAATGTTGGCCCAAATATTGTGTTCTTAATTTTGTGATCACCTTCCAGTGATCTTTGAACTTAACATTGTATTGGACCCCAATACCATCACAAGTACAAATGCTTGCATAGTCTTGTTCTAACTTAAAATAAAAATGGTGGAGCATATAATAGTTGTTATCAAACTTTTAGGTTCAGAGCAGTGTGAGTTAATAAACAAAATTTACATCCAAAGTCAGATAAAATATAAAATTTAATACTTTTTCCTACAACCTCTAAGTGCATTTAATTTTCACAACAAATATTGGTCTCAAGGTTACAAATCAATGGTACTTGGAACTATCAAAACCAATCTTGGTATATTACAAAAAGCTTTTTACCATTTGTACTAAACAAAATCAAATTCATGTAACATAATGCTAAAAAGCATAGATTAAAATGCACATTTTATGATAGCATACAGACA